AAGTGGCCAAGTTTGGACAACACTGCCCCAAGCATTTGAAGAACACAAACACCATGCAGAGTGCAGCGTTTTGGTTATTTGACACCCCATCTTTCCATCCAGGAACGTCCCTCCTAACAGGCAACCGGGCAGCAGGCCAACTTTCAAACTTTCAATTATTTGTGGCATCGCCCTAGCAAAGAAGGTGCTTTGTAAACTTACTAGCGTGGGATTAGATGTTATTTAGTTGCATCGATTCAAGTGGGATATGTCATAAAATGTTAAACTGGAACCTTCCAGTTTAAACTCAGCCAGTTTTCTCCTGATCTTCCATTCCTCCCTGCTAAGCACAAAAGCATCATTAGCATCTTCTCTTTTGTCATTAATTTAGCTTAAACCGCTAGGCTGTTTGTTGCAATGATGGAGGTGCTGGACAAGGAGCAGGGAGGGAGGCCCAGGTTCTAGACCACCCTTCAGCCCTGGAGACTTCTAGGCGAAGGATGATCGCTCAAGCTCCTGGATAAAATCTGGATGGAAAGATGGGGTGTCAAATAAGCAAAACGCTGCACTCTGCGTGGTGTTTGTGTTCTTCAAATGCTTAGGGCAGTGTTGTCCAAATCAATTAAATGGAACAGAGTGGAAAGAGTAAAAATAGCCACACCTTCATTGCAACGTGATGGTCTGGTTGATGAGAAACTCCTTCCCGGAAAGACAGGGAGGAACTCCCCTGGAGATCATCCGCCCTGGAACGCCTTTCCAACAAACAGGGGCTTTGGAGGGGACCTCTCAACACTGGGCAGATCCATGCAATCTCGCTGGACCCTTGGCTCGTTAGGACTGCAGCCGTGGCGAGTTTGAAGCCCACTCCTTGACCTGTCCTCGGAAAGCAGCTGGCAACTGGAGCCGGTCATTTCATGGGGCATAACGTGGTTCTGGTCTCGTGCACCAGTTGGCAACCCCGACGCTGCGTTTTGCACCAGGTGAAGGTTCAGCCCAGCTTAGAGTGCATTGCAAGGCCTCATGGGGATCCGCAAGGGCCTTAACCACCAGGCTAGAGAGCAGGCAATCCTGGTTTTGGTCCAGCCTTAGGCACGAAGCCAACTGGGTGGCCTCGGGCTGGTCCCCTCTCAGCCTGGGGAAGAAGGCGGCAGTGACCGAAATCTTTTCAAGAAAACCGCAAGGACTAGTCCAGTCAGTCGCCAGAAGTCAAGGCTGACTTGAAGGCTAGCCAGCTAGCTAAATAAGGCGGGGGGGGGGGAGATTTAGCCAAAGCATAGGGACCTGGCTGGACACCCCCTCACACCCATCCCAGCTTGTTTCAATTCAGTCTTTTTTTGCATTGTTGCCTGTTGTTCGTAATGTTTTCCTTTTGCACCCCTGGGTTTGGGCTAAAATAAAGTAACGGTCTGTCTAGTCCAGGGGTGTGTGTCAAAAAAGTCAAGATGGTGGCCAAAACTGTGCAGCTGAAGCCCCACCCCTTTCTTTCAGGGATTCCCCCCCAAAGGGTAGAAAATCATGGGTTTCTCTTAACCTGCAGGGAGATTCCACCGAGCTCATGATTGCATTTCGCTGGCGCTTGGGATGACCCGAAGGCCGAGCGCCCCGCGGTCCCGTTGTCCTCTTTTCGGTCAGGGAAGCCGCAGGACCCCACTCAATGCTTCCCTTTAAGATCCCCCCTCCCCTCCGTCTGGGCCCAGCAGCACTCAGGCCAGAGGGGACCCTTCAGGCTTCACTAAGTAACTTTAGCAATCAAAATAATACACAATGAATCTCCTTCCCTTTTTCCTTCTTCGTGGTGACTTTCAGATCCACCTTTATGAACCTCCGGCTGTAGCTTCTGATGAGGCAGCTGCTGGTGACGGTGCTGTACGCTGGCAGGAGAAAGCAGGAGACCCTCAAGCACTGCCCAAGCTTGGGAATTGGGAGGGGGGAAATTGCAAACCAAAGAAACCGACCCCAAACCACCCACCCTCGAGCTACACTGCAGAGATGTTGCGAACTATTCTGTTTTAGCCGACCTACGGCTTTTGGACAACGCTGCAGGGTTCTTGCAGCATCTTTCTAGCTGGGATCTGCGTGAGAGGGCCAGAAGGTCCATCATGTGTCCTTCTCTCCCAACTAAAAATATGGAGACAATAAACCGAATTGGCTTCCAAATCCGTGCTAGTAAATGTTTAATGTCCCACGGAGGTGCAAAGAGCAAATACTTTCCTGTGCTGTTACTTGTTCTGTCGGGCTGGTGGTGGAAAATCTGGCCCCAGGCACAGCCACGCTGAAATGATGGATCTGGAATGGAATTAAGGGGGTGTCAACTCATAATTCACCTCCCACATTTTTGCAAGTTTTGGCCAGGGCTATTTCCCACCTTCTTCCCAACGCAGAAAGACTGACTGGGGAAACGCAAAAGCCCTCTGCCGTGTTTGCCAGACCAAAGGTCCCTCTTGCGAGCAGGTGGTGGGTAACCCTTGTGCCTTTTGGCACGTGGGCATGGTCATCTGGGTGAGGAAGGCTATCTTTAGCATCCGGTTAATTTTTAAAACTGGCCTCTGAATTGGGACAGCATGCTTATATGCTTTTTTTTTTTTAAGTGCCCTTAATTTAAATTAGCACCTAGGCCCCCCCCAGCCCCCCCAAGCTACATAGCAACCTGTGGTTAGTCTTTGCTGATCAAGTCCCTGGAAGGGAGAGTCACAAGAAAATCCAAGGGCTGGAGTTGAAACTATCCCAAGAGTAGATAATGGGAATACATTTCCATATCGAGGCCAAGAAAAGAAGTCTTTCACCTTTGTCGAGCTTTGGACCAGGTGGTCACGGCTGCCATCTTGACTTTTTTGACACACCCTATCCCCCAACACTCCTGCGCCTACCCTCTTTGAGCAATTACTTAGCCACCACAACACACAGGTGAAACCAGAGCGTAAAATGCAGAGCAGTTATTATTTCCTTTGCTGTAAGTCATGATCTTTTAGGGCTAGAAAGTGGTCCACGGGCAGCAAATGACACGTTTTACCAACTTCTTTTCCCGTTTCATTAATTTTCTTCCCCTGGGCCATGAGACAGGATGCCCTCTTCATTAAAACTCAGGTCACACTGTTGGTTTGTTTTCGTTTTGTTTTTTACAGAAATACTTTATTTGACTCCATTAAGGCAAGGGGGAAAAAAAATCACACAATGAAATTGCTCTTTACATACATTCATCAGTCTTACAGAAAAATTTAAAGTACTGTACACACAGATGTTGACCAAGATCCCCGCAGACTCATTAAATACCTATTTTATTAGACAAGCCTCTATTCTTTGAATAGGGAAATCAGAGGGTCGAACTCAAGGTTTGAGAAACTAATGGGGGTTTTACATTTTAAAATGCAAGAGAAAGGTCCAATGATGCTTGTCTATAAATCCCAGACTTTACAATTCACCATGACCTCCTGAAGAGGAGACACGGGCACTGTGGGTCTGAATTTCTACCCAGAGTTACTAAACTCATCGGGTTTAGCGGATGACAAATCTGGCTCCTCTTTGAATATCGTTCCAGCACCATTTCCAACCAGGCGGTCCCCAATGCGCAGGTCTCCCCAAAGTTTTATGAGAATCCAGAGCCGTTTATTAGAATCAGGGTAACTTAAACTTGAAGCGCACCAGAATTTTGCTTAAAAAAGTGACGCGGTTCTCATTATGGATAACCTAATGCATTTTAAGATATAGTCTGACATCTAAAAAAAGCAGGTGAAATGTGTTTCATGATTATACATTGGTTCAAACATCTTCCTTATTAAGGACAATATTGATAAACATGTGCTTTGCACAAAGCTTGAACCTGCAAATCACCCCCGAAGCTAGGAAAGTTTTTCAAAATCAAGTTTTTTTCCTTCTGTCTTATTTCTCAGCTTTTACGGTACATTGATCACAACAGCTAGAAATAATTCTTTGTGGTTCCCCCAGACTCTCAAGTCTCCCTGCCTAGCATCTTAAAACCCTTCTCTTCAGATTGGATGTACCTCAACTCCCAGCAGGCACAGCCAACACAGCCCTCGCACACAGGCATCCGGCAGAAGCCGTAATGACACGCCATAGCGTGTTATCTCACAAATGCTGCATCACTGCAGCTGATATAAAAGATAAAAATTGTGCAATGACATCATGAGTCCCGTGACATCACTTGGCTGGCTCTGGACACCTGGGTGCTTGTGCAAGTGGAACCCCAACCCACCTGGAGGGCACCGATCTGCGTTTTAAACTCCCACAAACTATGTGGGATAGGAAAAAAGTTAACTTGATGTTCTGTAGTTGCTTATGAGGTCAGTTAAAGCTGTTTTAACGATTGGTATTTAAGTACTCTTAAGGCCAAATTTCCATCTTCATAAAACCTACTTTTGCTCCTCATTATTATCGAGGAAGATCTTTTTTCCTATGTTTGGCCCTATGCTCTCTTTAGAGTTGGGAAGAGATGACAAATGATCATTCATTCTTTTCAAGAAGCCATCTTTCCAAGTGTTCCTCAAACTTCCTATAGCAAAAAATGTACCTGAAAGCAACGTTGGTGCCATCCACCCTTTCTTTCTCGCAACTGAAGGGAAAGCAAAATCTGGTTCACCAGATGCTTCCAGATCCTCCTTGGGATCTTGTTTCACTCATCTGCATTGCGACCAGCTTAGAAGGTAGCCGTCCCCCAGACAGCTCCCCATCCCACCTGATGCTGTGCAGAACCACGCTTTATACCAGTGTTGTCCAAACTTGGCCACTTTAAGATGAGTGGACTTCAACTCCCAGAATTCCCCAGCCAGCATGGCTGGCT